TTCTGGACATTTTATATAAATGGAATTATACAATATGTGGTTTTTGTGTGACTAGTTTGTTTCACTTAGCATTAAGGTTCATCCATGTTGTACTATGTATCAGTACTTCATTACTTTTTATTGCTGAATAATGTTACATTAGATGGATATACCAGTCATCAGTTAAGGGACATTTGGGTTGTTTTCCCCCTTTGGCTATTCTGAATAATACTGCTGTGAACATTCATGTACAAGTGTTTGTGTGGACATGTTTTCATTTCTTTGCGGTATATACCTGGGAGTGGAATTGCTGGGCCATATTGTAACCTATGTTTAACATTTTGAGAAACTGCCAGGTTGTTTTCCAAGGTGGCTGTACCATTTTACATTCCCATCAGCAGTGTCTGAGGGTTCCAATTTCTCCACATCCTCACCAATGCTTGCGATTGTCCGTGTTTTTTATTATAGCCTTCCTAGTGTTGTTATATTTCATTGTTGTTTGGATTTACATTTCTTTAATAACTACTGGTGTTAAGCATCTTTTCATGTGCTTCTTGGCTATTTATATATCCTCTTTGTAGTATTTTCAGCTTTTTCCTAACCCAGAAATATAAGATACTGAAGGAAATTTTATGCCAGATAGAAAGGGAGGATCTTGGCTAGCAAGGCAAGTAGAGGACATATTTTGAAATGGGCAAGACAATGCATATTCCTGTCCTCAAAAACTGATATTGAGCTCTGATATTGATTTGCAGAAGTCAAGATAAATATATCTGATCTATGGTATGTACATACAACAGCAACACACAGCCTTCCACAGCTAAACAGTTGTTCAGGTTTAGGGGTAATAGTAGAAGTAGGATGATTTTGTAGAGGTTGAGATAGAGTTTTGAAATATTTGCTTCATGAGAATACAAAGAGTAATAATGAACCAAAAGATCCTTCTCAGTTTCATTAGTGAATCAGTGTGTGACTGCGGCCACTGGGCCTCAGCTTCTTCATTGGTAGAATGGGAGGGCCAGACTAGATTATTCTTGCCCTAAATATTTTATGTATCTTTTTGAAAAGGAAATGACAGGGAAGAGTGAAAAGGTGTGTGTGTGTGTGTGTGTATATATATATATGTGTGTATGTGTGTGTAGTTCTGCTCAAAGGGTTTTCTCCTGATGATGATGATAACAACAAGGACTTCATAGACAGACAGGTCATCCTGAAGAAGAGGGTTGAACAAAGACTCTGAAATGTGTATGAGAAGCTATCAGAAGGTGTGAGGTACTGTGGGGAAAAGTACCTGGTGAGAGCAGTGATAGGAACCATACTTTTGGCAATAACAATTTAACTGCTTAGGAATGAATATTTATTTATTAAACAACTCTTATGTAGCACTTGCTATGTACTGTAGATGGAGGGGAAATGGTAAACACTAGGAAAGAAGCAAGAGGAGAGATTTCAAGAATATGGAAGGAGAAATCTGCACGGGGGCCATCTTTCCCCTTAACTCCAAGAAGTAGCAGCTGGTGGTGGCCATCATTATAAGGAAGCTTCAGCATGAGTAATGACACCTGCTGGCAGACCTCACCAAGGCACTTGTAGGTCTTGGTAAAAATGAACTAATTAATTTTCACAACACCCCTGTGAAGCAGGAAGTAGCATTCTCCTACTTTGACAAGAATGTGTCAGCACATAAACATAAAGTGATTTGGCCCCTTTACACAGTGAAGCTGTGACAGGGTTGGGAATAAGAAGTCCCAGCAATTCAACTCCCAGACTTTCATTTTGTACTTATATTCTAATTCTTCCCCTTAGTGATAGTGTTTCCTTTGCTTATAAAATAATACTGGATAGTGTATATGCCCTGTTTAGTGGACACATAATTATTAGTTGTAGTTATTCTTGAGGATATAAAATCATCACATTTGGGAAGGGACTTTAGAAATTATCTAATTTAACCCCCTCATTGTAAATATTAAGTTACTCACCATGTACATAGAATTACTAGTACCAGAGGATAGATTAGACCCCTCACTTATCTTTACTCCTATGTCCCCCAAACAATGTGGGGACCTCATACCATCAAGAAAGCAGTGCCAGGAACAGAGTGTGTCCTTTGGACCAGGGTCCCTGCACCAAGAAGCTCCTAGTCCAGGGGAACACTGATGAGAAGGCCAAGAGAGAGAGAAAGCCTTCCCCTGAAGCTGACACCCTGAATTTGGACTTTCAGCCTGCCTTACTGTGAAGAAATAAACTTCTCTTCATTAAAACCGTCCACTTGTGGTATTTCTGTTATGGCGGTGCTAGATGACTAAGACACTTGGTAAAATAGAAGGTCAGCGAAAAGGAGGAAGACCCTCGACAAGAAGGATTGACACAGTGGCTGAAACAATGAGCTTCAACATAGCACTGTGAGGATGGCTCAGGACCGGGCGGTGTTTCATTCCGTTGTACACGGGGTTGCTATGAGTCAGAACCGACTTGACAGCACCTAAAAACAACACCAGTGTCACCCACAATGGCATGATACCTAAGGAATATAATCTAATAGAGGAAACTAACATATAAATACGTTGTTGTTGTTGTTGTGTGCCGTTGAGTCAATTCCAACTCATAGTGACCCTATAGGACAGAGTAGAACTGCCCCATAGGATTTCAAGGAGCAGCTGGTGGATTTGAACTTCTGGTCTTTTCGTTAGCAACCTAAGCTCATAACCACTTCACCACCATGACACTTTTAATACAGGGTGATGAAGGCTTTGATGGAGCATGCATATTAGGAGAGCAAGGAAATTTTATTACTTACCTACAATCTATAGGCACGGAGGATACAAAACAATATTCCCTGGAGGAATACAGAGATATTCACTACCATTTAGAAGCTTATAATCTAAAAGAAAGACAGAATAAATATAGAAATGTTAACAAGTTATCAGAATCCAAGTAAATGATGTGCTATGGAAATATGACGTTCCACTATGTTATTTATAAGATGTGGCTGCACATACATAGGCATGGCTATTAATACATTTAGACATTAAAAATTAACTGATTAGCAGGGCCACTGAGTTGCCAAGCTCCAGGGGGCATCTCCACATTGCTTACTGTGAGCATGGTATCCCTTGGATACGAATTCTCTGCACCTAGAGAACTGGTAACCAGTTGCTGTCGCGTCGAATCTGACTTGCGACGACCCTATGTGTGTCAGATAGAACTGTGTTCCATAGAGTTTTGATGGATAATTTTTCAGAAGTAGGTCGCCATGCCTTTCTTCCGAGGCACCTTTGGGTGGACTCCAGTCTCCAACCTTTCAGTTAGCAGCCAAGCACATTAACCATGTGCACTCCCCAGGGCTTCTTGCACCTGGAGAGCACCTGTGAAGTTCTAGGCACTGTTCACTTGTGTACAATGTTGAACAAAGAGAGATGAACCCTGCTCCCTTGTAACTTTCTGTTCCAAGGAGGAGACAGACATTTTACAAATAAGTATGCAAGTAAATGTATGATTACAGTTATGATAAGTACTATAAAAGATAAAGAACAGTTTGCTATGTGAAAGATTAACATGGAAGAAACAATTTAAAAAGGGGTCAGGAAGAAAATTTCTCTATGAGGACCTCACATTTCTGCTAAGACCTCAGGGACACACTGAGGTTAGCCAAGCAGAGAGAGGAAGAACTCCCTGGCAGAAGATGGGAACAAGTTTGGTGTGCTTTGGGAACTGAGTGAAGGAGCAGCGCTCTGGAGGTGAGAACTGGAATCAGGGAAGAGAGGAGGCAACCCAGCTCATGCAGAGCCTCATGGGCCCTGGAGGCAGCTTGGGGTTCATGTTAAGTGCAATAAATAAGAAGTCATAGGAGAGTAATAGGTTGGGGGGAAGGTATGGCAGCTAGAGAGCAAGAAGAGTTGTGGGAAACCATTTACTGCATGGTCTCAGTCAACACTGATCGAACTGAACTGTTTATTCTGAGTGAAAATTTTATTTCTAGTCATAACTGTATAATTGTTTCTTTTCTATGTCTTAAACTTCGTAAATGTTTTCAGTTAAAAAATAAAAAAAGCCTCACTGTTGTTTGGTCTTTTGTCCTGCCTGGTACAGATATTCCTCACTAAAATGACAAATGGTCTCTTAATGACAAAATGTATATGAATCAATGAACACAAAACTTGCTTTGGCTAAATATTTCCTTTGCAGATGTTTTAACATTCAAGTCACTTGAGCCTCAAGGCATAGTTTGGGTTTTACTGCCATCTAGTGCCTCTGAAAACGTGTTTCTTTATCTTTCAGAATATGACACTCCCCCAAACTGTGAGATAGATAGATAAACAGATTAATGTTTCTGTTATAATGTAATTCCGTTTTAGTTTTACTTACATTGCTTTTAAATTAATATAAAATAAGTTTGGTCCTATTTATTACTCTTTTTTCTCTGTCCAATTATCTAGGATTTCATTGATCCCTTTTCTTTACACCCATATTGTCTCTTAAGACTTTCGCTGAGAGAATTCCTCAGGAATGCTGTGTGAGGTGGAACAGTGTGCCCACTGCACAAAGACATTTGGCCTTGGGGAACAAGTTGGGGGCTGAAATCCAGCCCATATTCTGCTTCCCAAGTTAAATGCAGAGGGGTTGCATCTCCTCAGGAGAGGCTCCTTTTCCTAATTTAGCAGCACCCTGGCGTCACTCCACAATGATTCCTGCACAAAATTCAGGGCTCAGTATTCCTCCGAGGCTTTTGGTTTTAGCATTAGTTTTAGATTCTATTTAGTCTGTTTTCATAAGGCTCAGAAAGATCACTGGACCAAGAAATATTATCAAGCTATTATAGTTTGGTTTGGTTTGCTCTGGTTCATCAAAGTTTGCATAGACTATTGTATTGATGAAATTCAGTCTTTTCAGAACATGAGTGAGAATGGACGGAATGGACGTGTATTTGTGAGCATTCTGCTCCTCCATGTGCTTGTTCAAACACACAGAACACATTCTCTTTTCCACTGCATCCTTGATTATAACTCTCTTCTTCTTCAAAGGTCCCAAGCCACTCGTTTCCGTTGGCATCAACCAGCTCCTTTTGACAAGCAGCAGACTTGGGCAATAGACAATGTCTATATTGGGGATGGCTGCATAGATATGTGCAGTGGCCATGGGAGGTGCATCCAAGGAAA